TTTTATTGTGGCACCCCATAGTCTGTCCCATTTCTTGTCAAATCTCTCAAATTCTTCTGAAATGTTTTGGAGACCAGCCAGGATGTTTTGGATTATTAAGTTTTCTTCATCTGAATATTGATCCATTTTTCAGAATGCAAATGAATGTAAAGAAAAAGAAAAGGAGAGAGAGGAATCTGCCACTCTAGCCTGTATATATTTATTTCCAATCTTAAGCACAAGTTCTTTTGTGGTTTTCAAAGCAGAAGGGTTCTTATCTCTTTTTTTCCTTTTCCTTCTCTTGCCAAAATAGTTTCCAGGAGCACCAGCAAAACACTGTTCACGCCCTTGAGTCTTTATCAGGTTTTATAAACAAGTTCCAAACCCTTCCCTTGCAAAGCCAGTGAAGTCAAATAGAAAAGAACAAAGGATACGTTGTTTCAAAACAGGAGAAAACTTCAAGCTCAGGCTTTCAAATGGCAGATTCAATTATTTTTTCCTTATGCTTTTTCCTTAAATTTGTTTGTTTGTTTATTTGTTTGTTTGTTTATTTGTCTTGTATGCCACCCACTCCCAGAGGACTCTGGGCGGCTCACAATAAACAAGGGGAGGGGGATAAATAGACAAAACAACACTTTAAAAATACGCAACATTCACAAGTATCTTTAGTGTGATTTTATAACAAATAGAATTTGTTAAAGTAGGAATTTTTTTTTTTTTAGTTTAAACCAGGAGAAACAGTTAAGGTAGTAGAAAGAAAAAAAAATAGAGGAAAAAAGATCAGTCCATACACTTCATGCGGAGAAACGGGAAACGTTGCAATCACTTCAATCCACAAAATATCGTTACAAGTAGGAACAAAAAACTTTCTAAGGCAGTCCAATAGGGATTAAATTTGCTGCTTTATTCTTGCTTAGAGGACTAGTTATTATTATTATTTTTAAAAAGGGTTTCTTAGGGCAATCTTGAGAAAGAAAGAAAAAACCTCACCAGAAGCTTTCACTTCTTCTCTTCCTTTGGGAGCCGTCTCCGACTATGTTAGCCCGGGGGCTGCCTATTTGCCGCTGGTTGGAAGCACTACCCTTGGGTCATCAGGGACTTTGCAGTGTCCCTGCAACCAGCAAGGTTTTGTCTTCCCAGTCACCGTCTCTTCAGGATGGTTTAGGTCCTGCCGGACCGTCCAAGGGCAAAAGTGTCATCGGCAGGCTCGGACAGTCGAGTCCGCATGATGTCCCGTGGTGATGTTGGCTCCTACTCCGATCAGGCAACCATATTTACAACTATCTATAGACTACTTCCAATCTGGAAGTTAGCGAGTTCAAAACAATTTTATTTCCTGCTGCCCATCAACAAAACAAGTAAAAGCTGTCCTTGAGTTACAACCATTCATTCAGCGATCATTTGAGGTTAGGATGGCATTGAACAAATTGTGATTACCATCAGTTCTCAACCTCACGGTCATGATTGTGATCTGAGTGCTTGGCAATCCATTTACAATTACAACTGGTTGACAATCACTCTTTGATCACATAATCACAATTTGCAATCTCCCATGCTGATTTCCCCCAGAAAATCAATGGGGTTGAATTTTTTTGAAATTCAAGGTTGCAAGTCATTGAGGTAAGTCTTCCTCACTGGGGCATCCTTCTCAGCCCCTCTGCACTTGTACAACCCCTCACACATCCTCAACTCACATAGCTCCTTTCATGCACCCCTTTTTGCACTGCCCCTGAGTCTCCCTCACATCCTTGTGCACCCTTCCCTGTGCTGCATCTTTTGCACGTCCTCCCCTGCATGCCCATGCCCCCTTGCTCCCTCCCCACCTGGGAAGCAACCACTTACCTGCCTGTGGGCCTGGCACTTGCAACTTCCTGCTGGCTTCCCCATTGATTTTGTTCATGAAAAGCTGGCAGAAATCTGCCTTGCCTAATGACTATGGGATTCAGTTAATGATGACAGCCAGGGCTGCAGGGACTGTTGTCACTAAGTGATGTGGCCACAGTTTACAACTGTACTGCTTAGTAGTGAAAATTTCAGTTCTAATTGCTGTCATAAGTTAAGGACTACTGTAGTAAGAAAAAGAGATTAAACTCTTTTGTACATTATAAGGATTTTGTTATTGTATTTTGAATGTGATTGAGCAAGGACAAAGGAAAAGAGGAAAACATCTTCTCTTACTGTCCATGATACTATTTCCATGTTCATCCCATTTTCTTTTCTTTTTAGGTGAAGCATGTAGTGTCTCAAAACTGTGATGGGCTTCACTTGCGCAGTGGCCTCCCTCGAGAAGCCCTGTCTGAGCTGCATGGAAACATGTACATAGAGGTGAGTGCTTGGACAGGACGAGATTTGGTGCATTGTCATAGAAGAAAAATGCTAATACATTCTATGATTCCATCCCAAACTAGGTTTGCACATCTTGCACACCCAATCGTGAATATGTACGAATATTTGATGTGACAGAGCGCACAGCCTTACATAGGCATCAGACTGGGAGATTATGCCATAAATGTGGAGCACAGCTGAGAGATACAATTGTACACTTTGGAGAGAAGGGTATTTTACAGCAACCCTTGAACTGGGAGGCAGCAACAGAAGCTGCTGGCAAAGCAGACGTGATCCTTTGCTTGGGGTCTAGCTTGAAGGTAAAATTAAAGAAACATCTTTGCACATCAGTGCAAAAGTGTTATGATTTAAGATGTATTCTTTTATACTATGTATGGGAAGATTTTGGAACAATACTTCAAATGATGAATTAGCATATTTTGTGGAGTATAAGTCGCTCCAGAGTATAAGACGCACCTTAGTTTTGGGGGAGGAAAATAAGAAGGGAAAAAATTATGCCTCTGCCTACCAGCATCCATGGTATTCAGCTGACACATGGTAACATGTCAACCAATCAATAGGCATAGCAACTCAGCCAATGAGGGCTATTTGGACTCTGAATTTTGCTGTGTGAGCAAGAAGGATACAGGAAGGAGCCTGGCTTAGCCGAGAACTGAAAGTGAAACTGCTTGTGTTTTGCCGAGGTGGCGCGGTGGTTAAATGCAGCACTGCAGGCTACTTCAGCTGACTGCTAGATCAGCAGTTCAGCGGTT